TCATTGCTAACTGGTAACATTTTCCAGTCCAGAAAAAACCTCTATTGCCAGAAGGACTTTCCTTAAGGAGCTAATATCAAATGGTAGCCCTGACACTGTTAGAACCAATGGAAGAATTCTGTTCATTAGGGGTAATCACTTGACTACACATGCCATTATTCACTACTATAGTTAGGAGGTGAGAATACATGTCATCGACATTCATAAAAACAACCACCCTATTTCTATGATCCGTATAAATTCATCATGTGACTTTTGGCTAGTGGTCAATCTGGCTGGCTGATCGTAATAAACTGAGAGGATGTGGAAGCAGAGAGAAATGTGAGGCAAAGGTTTGTTTTCTGTGCTAATTTGTGTACTTTAATCTGCTTTCCGATGTGTTAAACAGTATTTTTCATTCTTATCAAGCCTAATTCAAAGGACACTTTCCAGCCCTCCATATCATGCTGTTCAACCTTCCCCTCCTTGACTAACTGTTAATTCAGAGAAAATTACTTAGGCACACCATTCTTGTCTTAATTACATGAGGTCATATTTCCTCATTACAGTAATTTGACTCAGAAATTTGTTGTATCCCAATTTACTTTGCAAAAAGCGTTTGATTAAGTTTCACTGATGCTAATCAACTATCACAGAACAACTTTCTCTCTTTATTACCTGTTTACTGGATAAAGAATAAAATGCCATATATTGACATAATTTATTAAACTAACTGTGGTATTTTTGCTTCTGAATTAGAAGAAGCCCCTGACTCAGTAGTGGATCTAAACTCAAATGACCAGAAAATGTGATGGAAACTTCTGGAAAAAATTATAGTCCCTAGTGAATAAATACAGTGTCAGAAAAATGAAGTTCTATGGATTCCATTAACAAAGATCTTCTAAGGAAAGACTTCCCTGTCAGAAAAATCTGTGAATATTAAGATTGAAATAATGTCTTCACCAATGTTTGAACATTTAAGACCAAAATAGAAAACTGTTTTCAGGGTAAGGTCTAAGCTTAAGCATTTTGTTTTTAGCAAAGACATTTTCTCACCAGAAAAAAATTTCTATTCAGGTAAGAAAAAATAGACTTCACTGGGGTAGTTTTCAGTTGTTTCAGAGCAGAACAGTTTGGATGAATTATGCATTCTCTACACCTCACTATATTGTGGGTGTTCTGTTGTTTATTCCAGAGAAAGTGTTCATCATGTCCCTACCCCAAGAAATATATCTCCATGGCTTATGTAAAAGACTCAAAAACATCTCTTCCATTCTTAAAGCATGATTAAGCTGGTGGCTGTTAACAGGAATTATCAAATTTAATTTGACACCCTGTTTTTGTAAAAATATGTTCCTGCCTTGCAGAGAAAGCACAATAGGAAAACATAGGATCTGGGAAGCTTCCCTGTTTCCTGAACATTGTTCTCTTTCATTTGAAGGAAGCAGAAGGAGGAGAGTGGAAAGAGACAGAGCCCGTGGAAGGTGAATGTCTAAAAATAGCTCTGACATGTTGTGGTTTTTTCCCAAGCCTTTATTTCACCTGGAAGACCTTCTGACTGTACTATAAAAATGTCAATTCCAGAAAAATCTCTAAACCTCAGCCACAAATTTTTCCGAACTGCAGATCCACTCTTCTGACCCCTTTTTTCTTTGGCATTTACCTATCCTCATCATTTCTAAAAAAGTGGGCCAACAGAAAGAAAGAAGCACTATTGCAGAATGCAAGTAGGGGGAAAATCAACAACTCCAGTAGCTGAGTGCCCAGGGAGTCTAGTCTCTGCATTTCTAGTTGTATGAGGGAAGAAAAAAAAAGGTAACTATGAGAGTAGTGAGTTTGAGGGAAGGAGAAACTGTTTTTCTTTGACAGCTGAAGCCTCCTACTCAGAAAGAAAATCCTGTAGGAGGAAAGTTTCATTCTTTAAACTATTCTTTCCTATAGCTCTCAATTGTAGCAGTATTGAGGAGAAACAACAGAATAGAGTTTTTAAAATCCACTTAAATTCACTTAAAATTAAATCAGTCATGAGAAATTTTTCCCCTTTGGTATAATCCTAAAATCACTAAAGGGGAAAAAAAAAGCAATAGCTTTTTCCCTAACTTTTCTTTCTATATATTTTTCAAAAATGCAATTTAAAAATTCATAAATCTGTCAAATTAAATCCAACATTTAAAAAAGAGTTCTGGATATTTTGGTGTGTAAAAATGTAATCCTTTATATAAGTAGAAATAATTTTTCAATTTGTTCTTTTTAAACTGAAATTGAAAGAAAACTCTTACACAAGGTAGCTCAGGAATATACAGGTGAAGATATCTTCATTTTTCAAAGGTAGTAAAAGGTTCTTTCTGTGAGTTCAACATTTTATGTATGGCCCTAAACCAAGAAAGATGAAAGTTCTAGCCAATACTCTATCATTGTGCTGGGAGCTGTATTGGTGCTTGCTTAAATAATGTGGCTCTGCCATTTACTTAATTGGAGAGTCCGTTAACTTCCTCAAGCCCTGATATGCTTGTCTATAAAACGGGTATGTTAAAAACAGTGCCTGCCTTATAAGGTTGTCGTAATGATAATGTAATGAAATAATGCACAATCTCTGGCACCTAGACGGTGCTCAACAAATATCATCTACTAGTAAAGACAGATCACCTAGTTAGGTGTTTGTGGATCCCATAACTTCTGAAGATTATGAAGAATTCTTCTTTTTTTTTGTGGCGAGGAAGATTGACCCTGAGCTAACATCTGTTGCCAATCTTCCTCTTTTTGCTTGAGGAAGAGTGTCCCTGAGATAACATCTATGCCAGTCTTCCTCTATTTTGTATATGGGACACTGCCACAGCATGGCACGATGAGCGGCATGTAGGTCCACGCCTGGGATCCGAACCTGTGAACCCCAGGCCACTGAAACAGAACACATGAACTTAACCACCACGCCACCGGGCAGGCCCCTGAAGAATTCTTTTTAATGGTGGTATTCAAAACGGGTGAGGTTTTGGTGACTATGACAATGACGGAGTGGGTTAACGGATAGAGCAGGGCAATGAGAAAGAGGAGAAAGATGAAAAAGACAAATCAGCCAACCTTCTGTGAGTCCAGGAAGCTTTCCTCCACAAGTTGACCTCAGTCTATCTCAAGGCCTGAGCACGGGAATCCAGGCTGTTTGATATGAAGTATAGAGGAAAGTAAGGGCCTTTAAATGTTCATCGTAATCATGGAAATTATGAACAGTCCTGTCTAACTTTTGCAAATCCCCTCTACCGCCACAGCCTTTTTTAAAAGCCACAAAAAAAATATAAAAAACATGTAATTTTTTTTTATGCAAAAGGACTCGTAACTCACGAAGCAGAAACATCTACATGTACCCTTGTGTATATACACTGTGAATCTGTACACGTCCTCACAATATGATTCCTAGGAGGTCATGACAGATGCGTACACAGAGCTGAGAGCTCTGGTTCAGTCATGAGTGTGTATCTCAGGGCCACAGCGATGTATGACCCTTCTAGGCATTTCTACAGGAAGCCCAGATCCCCCTCAATGCTGTTGCTAAGGATGTTACTGTCTTATTGTAGCAAGTTCCTTGGGAACTGTTTCACTGGCCTTCAAACATTTTATTATTCATTGTGGTAAGTTCCCTTATATATGATAATCAAAGAAAAACGTCACTGCATAACAAGGAATGGAATAATAGTTTGAAGGGTTTTGTCCAAATATATGCAGATTTGTACTCATTTAAACTGACAACTAGTAAGTACTCAGGAAAATGACTATGCCAGAGGGTCTACCTGGAATTCTTGATCTGAACACAAGGATTATTTCCAAAATGTCATATGGGCTGCATCTGTTGGGAGCTGAACGGTACATGAGATCTTTAAAGAATCTCTTCTGAAGAATGTGACAGCATATTTCAACTAGCCTTTATGACCTGCTGCTGTTTAGTTTCCATAATGTGTGTATCCAAGTGCGAGTGAGTCGGCAGCAGGAAGAAAGCTAATTAAACACTTTTCAGGTCACATTATTGAAAATGAGGCCATCTGGTTGATTGTCACAGTGGGCATTCGAGAGTACCAAGCTTCTCTGACAACGTAGTGAGGAAAACATTAGATAAAAATGCCAGACTGGACATCCAAACACCTTTCTTTCCATTTGTCATGTGAGGAGGAAATTCATCATTTGACCTGAACATCACTTTAAGAAGAATAACCCATAGGTTGTAAAAAAATCTATGGGGTACATAATCAAGATCAATGTTATACCAGATGAGTAACCTTTTTTCATGTACAACATTGTTCTTTGAAAGAGACTTGACATTGAGCATTCAGTACACAATGCTCCTTTTGCATGTGCCTCTTGTAGTGAAATATTCAGTTGCCATATCCTACGAACTCAAATTTTCAAGTTTGCTCATATCTGAGTCAAGCTCCTTAGTTATAAGCAATGGAAACTGACTTTTAATTAAGCATAAAAGATAAGAGTTTATTAAAAGATAGTGAATAGTACGCAGAACTGTGGGGAAGACTGGAGAAGATCTTTGAGACTGAAACTACAAGAATATGTCTATATTCTTGCAGAACCGGCCCAATGAGGAAACTCTGCCGCAGCTGTGGTTCCTACACCGGTTCCTACAGCCTCTGCAGTCCCAGCATCCCATGATGCCACTTTGAGTCCCTGTCCCCTGAAAGCTGGTGCTCTGGCAGCAGAAGGGTTCCTCAGAGAGTCACTCTCATCAGACTGTTTACCTCAAAGTGCAAGTCTCGGGAAGAAACCGACTGGCCAAGCCCAGTTCACAACACCTGCAGGGGAAATGGGAATTGTACATTTTTGGATCCTACCCTGGGGAGATGAGTCTTTAAGTCTGGAACTTTCCCAGAGACAGCCTAAAAGATGCTGCAGACAGAAAAATCTGACCCTACAGTTAGAGAGACCGTATAATTCATCGTGCAAATTGGAACAGTTTTGAGAGTAAAAGAGAGGGTGCAATTAAATAATTACTCCAGGAAAAGAGGTATAAACTGCATCATTCTAAATAGAAATGGTCATCTGATTATGGTGACAAAGTTTTCATGCCTGAACTATACTCTCAGTGCTGCCACAAGCTTTTGCTGCCTGTCAGCTTGGCCGTGCTGCTCCCAGGTAAGAGGTTGCATCTCCCTAGGCTGTTATGAGAAGCTGACAAAAACACCAGGCTGTGGCCAGGTAGGGGACCAGAAGTGACTCATGCTACCTCACACGGCAGTTCAGGCTCTCACTGGGGTGGGGCTGGCTCAGCGAATCCTGCTGAGCTGATCTGCCAAGCTCTCCAAATAATGCTCAGTAAAGTGCATTGATTAAAAAGGCTTCCACAGATGCCCAGACACAGCCACCTTTCTGTCTAAATTTTATGGGTAATCCAATATAGAGCTCACCTGAAGGTGGAAGTAGAAATGTGTTCCCTTTAATACTTGATATTTCTATATTAATTGGTTAGCTTCTATTGAGATAAGTACGTTGGCTGTAAATGGAACAGATCTGGGAGTAACCATGACTACTGGTGAACAGACGAAGCATCGTTGGAAACATGAAGACCAGCACCGCACTGGTAAGTAAGCAAGGCCATCAAAAGTTGGTATGAGAAGCAGCAGCCACCTTCTATGACGCTGAAAAGTCCTTCAGTTAACTTGGATGTTTAAAACCCTTAATACAAAGCTACCTTTTAACAATTGATTTCCTGAACTTTATGTAAATTTATGTCTTATTTTCCCACTTACTTTTCTTCGAAAATTACGGAGTAGACTTCCGCAGAGCTCCTGGTTTTGCTGCCAAATTTTACGGCTTCATTTTCATTTTAACAAACACATACTGGGGGCCTACTCTGTCAAGTGATCTCGAGGATAAAGAAATGAATACCACATAGTCCTCGTCCCTGTGACATTCACACTCTACTGGGAAGATGGGCACATCAGCAAATGTGCCTCATAATGTCACAGGTGATTTGACTTTGAACCATACTCATAAAGGTAAACTTTAGGGGAGCAAACTACATATATTTTAAATTATACGGACAAAAGATGATAAACTCTGCTAAGTTACACTTTTATTCCTAATGCCTGCAAATAATAGTTTTAAATGCAGAAATATATAATAATGCTATAATTTTTGGTTAGATCTTTTTTAATGAAATAACTGAAAAACAAAGGCATTTCTAAAACACAGATGTGGCCATTTCTGCGAAGGATTTATGGTCTTTCTGTGGCCCATTGGAGTCACTGCCCCTGACTGTTCACTGACCCAGAAGCCCATTTCCCCTATCAGTGAGGCCTGAGAATTGGTCCTCCCCAGGGCCAATTACCCTGCCCCGTTGAACTGCTGTGAAAACAAATTAAATTGCCAAGAATTTTTCTGCTAATTCTAAAAATGTTTGAGGGCAGAAGCAAAAAGAAAGATCTTGTATGGCTGGCATTGAAGGCCGTGACAGACAAAATGTAATTTTCTCTGAAAATCTTGAAATCAAACATGACTGTAGTTTCTCTTCAACTGTAGAGTAGCCGAAGCTACCCCATGGGGCCCACTGCATCCATTGACGGATGAGAAAACTAAGACCCAAAGGCTCTCAGTGATTTGTCCCAGGTCACAAAATCTAGTAAAATAACTGGACAACAGAGTAGAGACAATCAATCCTTAGATAATTAAGAGCAGTTTTGCAAAACTGTAAAAAAAATCAAAGCTTACCTAAAATTTTTAAATAAGTGCAATAAATGACCAATGGCCTCTAGTCTGCCTTTATGAAATAGGAGTGTTCATCCTGGTATGTTTAGTTTTTAGTATTAGTCTCAAAATTGTGCATTTCTTCTCATTGCTTCACAACCATACTTAGACTCCAAAAAGGATTCTCTATGAAAAATAGTCATTTGCCCTGAAATATTCAAATCTTAGGCAAGGTCACACAGTCAGGTACAGCCCAGTTATTTCATCTCATCCACTCAATAAACATTTACTTAGAATTTAAATGCCAGGCATTATTCCCGATAGAGGGAATGTAGGACTATGTTAGTGCTGTAAGCATAGTTATGTGAAGATGATTAGATAGGAGATAATGTCAAAGGAATCATGAAATGAAACTCTGATCCTCTTCCCTAAGACCTCAAAGATATTTAGTAGGGCATGGGAATATTCCTTCTCCTTATTTTAGACACTGATTCACTTCTTCATTTAACACATATTTACTGAACATCACAGCTGTGCCATGAATTGGCTGAATCAAGGGTACAGAGAAGTTGTAGGGTTGAAGAAACAGATATGGAGTGTAGCACTTACTCTTTGTTTAAAGAGCAAAGCCTACTCTTTCTGCCTTATAGACTTCTAATAAGCCAAATGTAAAATTAAGATAACCATTCAGGCGTTACCTTTGTAAGAGTAAGAAGCAACAAAACAGGCCTCTCCTTGGGGGGTGAAATGGTAGTGTCAGTCCTGGGCTAAGATCAGTGCAGTGAATGTGGCCATCTCAGTGGTTGGTGTTTTGCTTTGTTTGTGAAGGAAGTGATGAGAACTATCTTGGAATCAGCTACAAATCTTTTATCATAAATGGTCACCATGGTATAGGTGTGGGAATAAACTCGGCAATGAATTACTAAATGTATAAAAGAGTCCTGGCTCTCATTTTGGGGGGTTTAAAAGCCTAAATAGTGGCTTACGTCTGTTGTTGTAGGTCAAAATGGGCTTTATTATGCAAGCCCAGCTCTTAAGGTTTTCAGGAAAAGTAGAAATGTATAACATTTACTCAAGTGTTTAAAACAAAGGAAAATAAAATTTTTCCTAGCCAATGTATAACTCTTCAAGAATAAAAAACTCTTGATGGTTTACTTGCTATTTGCCATGTTCCTCTCCTCTCATTTCAGCTCCATCTTCAGGTCCATCTGGCCCGTAACAAATGGAACACACAAACGTGGACCAACACAATCTTCTTTGCTGTATAGTTTCAGTGAATCCCCTCCTGCAGACGCTCACAAAATTGAGATGTGCCACCACTTAAAATGCCAGACTGTGTTCACTGAGCAAGGGAGCTCATAAAAGTTTATTTTGGCATCACCATTTAAGAGTCTTAACATCCTCTTGGCAGCATTGTTTTGTATGTCTATAGAGCCTCAAGGAGTATGTGAACTGATGAAAATTCCTGATGAAACGTTTATATAAGCAGCAGGACTGGTAAGGAGGCAAGTGTTCCAATCTGAATGACCACCCTGCTTGTGAAACTTTCTACACTCAAGTTCCTCTCTCGGGGCCAGGACATAAAAGCTGATCATAAAGTGCATAGCTAACTAAAGAAATATGCCTTTTTACTAGGCCCAGGAGACCCAGTAAACCGTAAGGGGTTGGTTCATATTCTTCCATGCCCATTACATCTTACATTCATTTCCTCTCCACGGCTCTCATCTCTGTGTGTCCCAGTTCTTCACGGCCCAGCTCAAATTCCACCATGAAGAGGCAGTCCCCCACAGACTCACCTCACTGTGTATACATACCTGCCCTGTGGCACCATGAACTAATCTTTTTATTGTGGTCTTCTCACAATAGTAGCCTTCATGCTCCTTAAAAGTAGGCATTGTGGCCTAGAAAACTGTGAATTTTCCACAGTGACTTTTTTGGCAAAGGTGCTTAATACATCATCATTGATTGAATAAAAACAAATCATTTCTAAGTGAATTGTGAACAATAAAGTCCTGAGGTATCACCACTCCACACTCCCATGCTCAGGAAACATGATGGTGGCTTCAACATGTAGGAACAGGAATAGTGGCAGTTTGTGGTGAAAGGAAATGAGAAATAGGTAGGAGAAATGGGTGGGGAAAAAGGATTCATTGAAAACTATGTCCATTATTAATATCTAGAGACTGTGATAAAAAAAAATTAGTACTTGAATGTAGCAGAGATGGGGTTGCTCACTTTAAGTGAGAGACACGGAGAAAAACAGATAATTAGACAAGCAGTGGCTCCAAAGTGACTGCATTTGAAAAGTGCTGAGCATGGGAAAGATGGCACCACGCTGGCGTATAGGACTCCTGCCCACAGTGAGGAGGGGTGTTTGTTGGGACACAGTTCTCTCTGCTAAGCTCCAAAGCCACGCCTTAGTCTGCTAACGAGAGGTCAAATGGCCTTTCTGCTCCCGTCACGGACAATGACAGACATTTTTCTGTCCAGTCATCTGACATTCCATGTGCAGAAATCTCCTACAGTAGGGGGACAGGAGAAAAAATAGTAGAAGTTTTTCAAGTGGATTTCTGCAGGTGTTTTTCCAGATCCGGATGTGCAATGTATCTTTGCAGCGCATTTTCTCTAAAATTCAACCTGGCTTGGCTTTTTCCAGCATTCTTCAAAACATGTTTGTTTCACAAAAGCTGCAGGTAGAGAGGAGATAAAGCAGACACAAGTTAACTACGGTAACTTAAGGAATATATTTAGCACAATAAATGGAAATGGAAATTAACGATTTTAACTGACATTTTCTGTGTCCAGGGACACTGTGCTTGCATAAAATTTTTCAGGTTAACCAGACACCTTCTTTAATCAATGAGTCATGAGACATTTATTGGTACTCCTCGGTCCCTGCTTTACTATTTGGCTCTGAGGCAGAATCTCTAATCTGTCCACTTCTCTCCGTCCCACTGCCACCGTCTCTCATTGTGTCACTGCAAGGGCTTTGAGCTGGTCGATGTCTCCTCTTGGCCCCTCAAATCTATTCTCCACACAGCCCTCCACAGAGTGAAATCTTTAGATACATCAGATCATGTCACTCCTTGCTAAGTCATTTAATGAATTCCCATTGCATTTTAAAGACAAATTCAAGCTCCACGGCATGGTGTGCCAAGTCATATTAGTCAAAAAATTGTAAATATTATTATTTGAGAAATGTACTTATGGCTGTGAGGATGATGAGTTGAGGAAGGAAAGGCCTAGAGACAGGTTATGGCAACAAGCAGATGAGATCTGAGGAGGGCCTTAACTAGACCCAAAGTTGTGGTGAGAGAATTGTGAATTGATGGATTGTGTTAGAAGTCGGAATTGTTAGACTAAGTGGACAATGAAAACGACAAAATGGAAAAATTAGAGAGTGATTTTTCTAGGTCTGATTTAAAATGATGCCATTGACTACAATAGGGAATACAAGAGAAGAAACACATTGAACAAAGCACAGAGGAAGAAAGAAGAGGAAAAGGAGGATAGAGAAGGGTTGGAAGGGGTGTGGAAGTTGTTAGCAAACACTCAGGGAGCACTGACTACGTGCCAGGCAGGCACTGGTCCAAGCACTTAACAAATATTAACTCATTTAAAACTCAGAACAGCCTTCCAAGGCAGCTGCTATTACTAGCCTGTACAGAGGAGCAAAACGAGGCACAGCGATGATCCGTAACTTGTCTGAGATCCCACAGTTTGTAACTGGCGAGTGTAAGGCTGGAACCCAGGTGTTCTGGCTGCAAAGTCTATGCTCCCAATCTCTATGACGTGCCTGAGAGGTCTCCGGGTGGCACTAAGTACATTCACATTGTTGTGCAACCATCACCACCATCCATCTCCAGAACATTTTCATCTTCCCCAGCTGAAACTCTGTACCCATTAAACAGTAATATGTAATTCCCCATTCCTCCATCTCCCCATGCCCCTAGTCCCCGGCAACTACCATTCTACTTTTTGTCTCTGTGAATCTGGTGATTTTTTTTTTAATTAGACACTTTCTTTGTGAAATTCACAGAGCAAAAGATGGTGCCTGCAGGCCCTCAAATTTTAAGGTAGGATTGAATCATTCCTAAGAAAAAATGAATTTTGCCTAATAGCAATGAAAATGGGATGGCTCTTTCTTGTTGCTCTATCCTTCTCCCCACCTACCCTTTGCCCATCCCCAGTAACTGTCCTCTGGGCACGGAGGATGGTTAATGAGAGACTGTTCCAATATTAAATTAACTCCTCATACACTTAAGAATTGGTGAACAAAGAGAGTTTTAATATGATCTATTACTTTGGCTTCCCTATGAAAATCTTCTTTGGGTTCATTTAAGCTCAAAGAGGCCCTTACTAGTAATGTCACTGAATTTATAAACCTACGAACTTCTAGGAGCACCAAGAAACCTCAGAATCTTTGATTTAACGGGAGAAACTTCCTTTTTTCTGTAGTATTTCAGTGAGGGCAAATCTACATTAGTCACTTCAAAGGAGGGGGTGAGTGTTGGAGAAGAAGACATATAAAATTTGCACACTTGATAATTGAGTTCGCTTAGGGAAAACAGAGAGCACAGACGTTGGAATGAGTGAAATGAGAGTTCAAATCAAGGGTCTGCCATTTAGCCATGGGGTGGACTTGAGCAAGTGAGTTCATTCTTCTGAGTTGCAGTTTCCTCATATGCAAAATGGGACCTCAGGGGCCAACGTGAGGAATAACTGGGTTGTTATCCATGTCTGGTGGGCAGTCCAGAAATGCCATTTTTCCTATGGTTGGATTTCTAGTATATCTCATTTTTGCTGCAGACTTTGGTCTGTTCCCTGAGGTTAGACATGCCCCCAAATAAAATTGTATCTTGTAATATAGTTATTTAAACAAGATTAACTGAATTCAATCCAAAACATCTTTTTATTTTACTCTGAGACTTCACATGATAGCAACAAATATATTTGTATTTATGTATTTGTATATGTGTGTGTGTGTGTATATAAATTTTATCATGTATTAAGAACTTGCCATAAGTGAATAATGTTTGCCAAATAGCTTGTGGCAACACAGCATGCTCTAAAGACAGCGTCTCTCATGTTGAAAGCAAAGACATGTCAGTAGACAAGAAGAGTTTCAAAGAGATGTGCTGGACCCTCCAAGTTACGCAGGTCTATGGGACACTTACTGTGTTCCAGAACTCCGATAGGTTTTACCCAATCAAGTGATACCTCCTTTTTTATT